TTATTTACTTAAAGTTTGTTTCAAGTAAAGAATTTATTACATATAAAATTAGGAAGATTTCGTAATTTTTTTTTGTTTAGTCCAGGCAAAAGCGCGAGTACAGTTCAGAAATTAAATACTATAAATTTCGTTTATTGGTACTATTTGACAGAAATGGAATTAGCAATTATGTTCATATTTTATTTTAATAAATGAAATTTGTATTAACAGTAATAATCTAATTCAATGCTATTTATTTTCAAAATCATGAATTAAACATGGCCGCCGCACTCGATCTGTCAATTCGCTGTCAAACAGCTGAATACAGATTATTCAAATCGATATTAATAAGTCATCGTTTATCATAGAGCAATCCAGCATGTTGTAATTAATTTAGATGTAACATTCTTACAATCGGATTTATTTTACCGTAGTTTATAATCTAAAATCAACATGCAATGAAGTTGGATATTTAGAAATTAGCCTGTTACCTAGAGGAGTAGACAGATTTAATGAATGTACAAAAGTGCATTGACCTTCAAACCTTGTATACGTTAGGTCGTCTACAATGTCATACGAATCATATGACATATGAAAAGATAAGGGAATAACAGACGAAACGAAACGCATATCAATAATTAGCGGTTGACCATAGTCCCATGCGCATGCCACAATTTGTTTTGCGTATTGACTAAAATCAAAATAGGATAATAAACTCGAAAATTGAAATACTAAGAAACACAGTATTAAACCACAAATAGGCCATTGTGGTTGGATTAATGCAAGGCATAAGAGTTAAAGACATAATTATGTCTTTAACTCTTAAATTTCTTTTAGTATGTGATTATTCTTTTGGTAATATAATTCTATGACTAAATATCAAAATAAACTATACTATTGGTCTCGATTTGAATCATACTGGAGCAATCGAGATCTTCGCCTACGAATAATTTAGTTCAGATTAACTTCTATTAAACAATTTTAGTTAACGTCATGTTTCAATTGATCTCTAGTTATTTCAAGCGAATCTACAATTGACTGAACAAATACAAGAATTTCTTACTATTTTAACTGTACTAGAATGCATAGAAATAGTGACTGTCACTTGCATAGAGCTTATGTGACAGTTGCGCCTCTTGCCATGAATTTGGCTCAAACGTAACTCGAATTTACAACTCATTACATTACTTTAAAAAAAATTATTAATACAAAGGTTATGGAGAAAATATTTTAATAGTTAATTTGCAATTTTTATCGATTTTCTTTTGTTTTATTATAATAAACGATCATCGTTTATTATATACTAGCTGTCGCCCACGACTCCGTATGCGTGGAATTAAAATAAACCATAATTATTAGCCTATGTGTTCTTCCAGACTATGTTCTATATGTATGCCAAATTTCAGCGAGATCCGTTCAGCCGTTCTGGAGATACCGTCAAACAAACATCCATCCATCTAAATATTCGCATTTATTATATTAGTAAGAAACTGGATTAAAGACGTAGACGGTGAAGCTTTTTGTAAGAGGTATTTGAACTAAATATATTTTTATTTTATTATTGTATGTATTGGTTTTCGCTGCTCTTTTAGTCTATAACTAACCTTGGATTTGAATCCGTAAAATAGAGCTAAGAAACTTATTAGATACGTAACTTATTCAACACATCTGCAACATGTCACGTAACAAGCATAAAGCCGCGATGACTGTTCAATGTATCACCTAACTTGATGACGTATCATTCCTATTAATTTGATTGCACGTAAATAAAGGCCTTTGGGATTCACTCGTGAAGTTAACAGAAATAATTTGTTGTAACTTTATTAATAGTACGGCCGTGAATTTGGCGTCAAAACGTCAACGTAGGGTGACCATGATTTTGACAGAATAATTTATTTTTTGGGACTATTTAATATTTTTTTACATTTTTTTTATTTTAATGCATTAAACCTGTATATCTGAATTATAAATGCAATATTTATGAGGTAAATTTTTAATAATATAACTATTACTTTGAAAAAGATTTCATAATTGTTAAATCTTTTACTCTTATGGTTTTTATTATTACCCACTTTTTAAAAAGTACCACAACTCATTATAAAACTATGTTACAAATAAGTATCGTAATAGTTATTTTATAATTACGTGGTCAATGACTATATCGTATAATTCCAGATACAGATACGTATAGGTTAAGGAAAATTTTAAATTAATTATAAAATTACTTTGAATAAATATCAGATATTTGTTGTTCAACATCTAATATATCTATATAAAGTACGTATTACTCATTACATATTATATTGTGCTGTCATCAGTGAAACTGTCTTCTATATTATGTTGCTTCCTATGATTCATACTTCATCAACACTTCGTAAAGGAGAAAATTTAAATACCTTAAAGACAAGATCATCGTCTGATAATTGCGCCCTCTATATGACTTTAAATACATAATAAAATTACTACACAATAAAATATCTTATCTTTTTATTAGATTAAGTAAATATTAAAATATGATTTTTTTATTAATCTATGTATAATTCGATAATATATTAAATTCATTCTGTATTTTCCTCTATAATAGTTGTGTTCAATATTTTTAGCGAAAAAATATAGTTATCTGAACTTTTTTTTACTACGCTCTTTTTTATTATAAATTAAGACACCGAATGAAATCTTATACTAGCAAGATAGTTTCAACTGTTCTACCAACTTTCTATAGTACAGTGATATAGAAAGGGACATCGGAAAGCGATCTGACAAGTCCTGTTATACTGAAAAAGTTCCGTATAACAGGACTTGTCCATGAAAAATTAAAATGATAGTGTTACTACAAATCCGGCGCCACAGGCCGTTTCTGATGATATACTCCGCGCGTCCCAAAAATCTGGCATCAGTTTTGCGCGCGCGCACCCACTGTTGACTTGTTTGTTCTGAAACTTGTCTATCATACGTTTCGATCAATAGTTTATACAGTGTTGTGCTGTGATTGTGTTTGTTTATTTGGCAGTAAAAGGTAATTTTTTTTTAAAATTATCGTTATAATAAAACAAAAGAAATGTTTTTAAACTATAAAAAATACCAATAAAAAATACATGAGTTGTTAAAACTCGTACTAAAATAAAACGTAACTTTAAGAACCCGAACTTCACTTTCATTAAATCTCTCTGTTTTTTTTGCGTTTACACAATTAATAAATTAAAAATTCTAAAGTGATGCCATAGTTACCGCAAAGTATTTGAAAAATAGTTATGCTTTTTTAAGTCTCCCGAAACACCGGTAGCTTTTCTCATTTTACTGGAAATATCTATAACTATACTTGTGTAGTAGGTAAATACTATTCCTAACTACATTCAGATCACGCCTAGGATATATTATTCAAAGATCGTACATACATTAACACTAACATGATTTTCTTGCCAAATCCAGCTTTCACTAGGAAAGTATTGTTATGCAAGACATACTAGTAAATGCGTTTTATTTATTTATTTATTTATTTAAGCACAACCACAACATATATATAACACACATACAACTTATCAAATGAATAGTATTAGATCTTATACATATGTAAATATTGGTGTACATAACATTTACAGAGGTATTTATTTAGGTAATAGTTTAAGGTTTTGGAAATTATTATAAAATAGTAGATTTTTTTTTATCTTTGTAATTATTCTATAGATATAGTTTTGACAACGCTATTAATTAAAGATTTAATTTTAAATGGGGGGTTTCGAAATCTTTATATTTATAATTCTTCTGTGAGTGTGTATGTCACTGAACTTCTCTCAAACGACTTGACCGATTTTGATGAAATCTTTTGTGTGTGTTCAAGGGGATCTGGGAATAGTTTAGATTCACAATTTTGTCCGCTGGACAAGGTTTTTTAAATTAATTTTAATCCCGCGCGGACGGAGTCGCGGGCGACAGCTAGTATTAATATATATATATATTTTTTTATTATATGAGCTTTTATTTAGCTACACCTGTCAAGATGTTTGTCGCCACATATTCCAAATTAAATGTGATTCACTTCTCGTTTAGAGCGTCAGTGGCTCAGCGGTCCAGCACTTGACTTGCAATCTGCGGGTCCTGGGTTCGAATCCCGCCATGTACCAATGTGTTTTACGATTTCCGATTTACATATGTACATTTATCCGACGTTCTTACGGTGAAGGAAAACATCGTGATGCAACCTGCACATATCTGAAGAAATTCAAAGATATGTGTGAAGTTAACCAACCCGCACTTGGCCAGCGTGGTTGACTATGGCCAAATCACCCTTAACTTAGGGTAGGCTCCGAGCCCCTCGTACCTATAGTGAGCTGATGATGATGATCACTCCTCGGTTACTGATTGAACAGATTTGCATACTATGACGATATAGTGCTGATCTGAGGATCTAGAAGGTGGTCATAGGAACTTCGAAATGTAACGACACAAACTCAAAGAGTTTGGGCTCGTTTTTAATAGACTTTATAATTATTTTAAATAACAAGAACATGATTTAAATGGGTTTCTTTTTTTTTTCTTTTATTTATCTTAATTTTTTCCCATATTATTTAATTTCAAATTAATTTAATTCACGGAATTTTATTGATGTTGGGGGAAGTACCAACCGCGACTCTACCCAACGTATTATTGTAAGTTTTAAACGTAGATGCAAATCTGTAGTCAATGATAGTAATGGATGCATTACGGTTTAGATCATCGCCTCAAATGCATTCTGCATGGTTAAAAATAAATTATTTGCACGCTAAATACACTATGACATAATCCATTATTATGTTTTCTAGGACACGCTGTATTTAATAGGTTTTACATTATCACGATTTCGAAGCGAAAATTATAACTTTTTTAGGCAAAGGCTTTTCCAATTCCTCTGCCAAAAATGACTTCGCTGAAATGGCGAAGCTACCTCTGTCCATAGACATCGAATTACTTATTATTAGTCCTATAACCTTTGTCAGAGGCCTATTTTGTAAACATGCTTTATGATAAATATATTTTTGTTTTAGATTTCTACAATATGGAACCTTTGCAAGTGGATGTCGTACATTTCTACCCGAGAGAGAACGCGCAGCCACACAACACTATCAAGTGAGTAATGTATTGCAAAATTACAAGATAACACAGCACAAGAATTCTCCAGACCTTAATAAATTGTCTAAATCACCGACTATTTGTAAATTTCGACACTTTACAATTGGACGACAGCAAAAAGGTCTTATACTCAAAATGGCTCGACAATTTGTGAAAAAAAGAAGATTAATAAATTTGTAAATGGCTGGTTGTAAATAATCTGTGGCTCGTTGGTCTAGGTGTATTCGGGTGCGAGAGGTCCCGGGTTCAAATCCCGGACGAGCCCAAGTTAATCTGGTGTTTGTTACATGCAAACTCTTCTTTTATCAACTATCTCTCTGAGTTGGTATTTTGTTATAAATCTAGGACTTTCTTTGGATTTTATTTTATAAGATTCTTCTTCGATTGTTTTATTTTTTAACCGACATCAAAAAGGCGGAGGTTTTCAATTTTTTTCAACTATTATGCTGCGATTTTTAACATTTTGACTCAATTTTGAAACTATTCAAGGTCATTGGAATTAGTTACTTCTTTAAATGTTTTACAGAATTATAATTATTCTACAAACAATTAATTAGTGTTGTACAAACAAAGCAATAAATAAGATTTTTTTTCAACTTTAATTGCGTTTGTTTTTTTTGTCGTTAATTTTTATTGCTTCTCAACAGGTTTAACTCACAACATGTTATAAGTACTGTCGATAACTTTAGATAACTTAAAATATTCTAGAGATAATAAAGCTAATCTTTGTCTGTCTCATATCGGGAATGTTTCCCTATAATGTATACAGGATGTCCCGTAATGAATGGATTATCACGAAACCCTACATATATGGGGGTTTTCTTAAAAAAATACTTTTTGTTACTTTACATTTATATCCATCACAGTATTAAATTATTGAAATTTGTTGTCTTTTTGGGGTCATATTAATTACACGGACTAAATCTAAACTTATTTTACGATGAAATTTTCCAAAAAATTTAAATTACTTAATTTGAGAGCCTCCTGTGAATAAAATATGTATGAAGATCTGTGTGTATTTCTTTTCTATTGTCGCCTAAAAGGTTGTAGTCTAAAAGGTTTGAACACTTTAAAGAGTAAGGGGTCTTAATTCTATTTCTCAGACGTTTTATATTTACTCTGTTATGTCTAGATTCGAAGTGATCAACGAAGAGAATCCTACAACTACGATCGTACGACGCGGTCAACCTTTCAATGGTGTTGTACGTTTCACGCGACCCTTTGATGAAAATGAAGACATCGTACAACTTATGTTCACACTTGGTAAGAACTATTACTAACTAGTTGTTCCTCGAGACATCGTCCGCGCGGAATTTTAAAAAAAAGTTAATTAGTAGCCATGGTAAAGTTGACTTCAATGGTTTGTAACCTTTCTTCAACAGGTGACAAGCCTCAGATGGACACACAAGGTGCGATGTTCATCCATCGTGATGCTGTTACAGACAAGCACACGTGGACAGCTAAGCTCCTAGACGTGCAGTCAGACACTGTCTCCTTTGAGGTTAGCATTTACCTACTTTTATATGATAAAATAGCGGTCGAATTAAAAAGATAGCCTGTAATATATCTACGTGCATCACCTTCCCAGTCCAGTCAAAATCATTCAATCCGTTCAGGAGATTGCCTCGAACAAATGCGGTCTTATGAAGAGACTTGCAGACAGACAAAAATTTTAAAAATTGCTTTTTCTTTTTTAAAAAGCAATTTTTAATGTCGAGGTCTTTAAATCCAAATGCTAAACTCGTTTATACAACAAACTAAGTATATTTAATAGAAAAGAACCAAATAGAACCTTTAGCATTTAACCGCGGAAAATCTTACAAATTCGACCTCGACTAATGTCAAATTGTAACCAACTTAAGTGCATTCACGTGGATGGAATTCTAAAATCTAATTACAGATTCATTACGGTTGCAACTGATAATATTTTTGTTGCATTTTTATATTAAACAGATTGTCTGTATGTCTGGTGTTTATCAGATTCACGTAGAAATCTGTGATATAAAAAACAAATTCATTTTATTATCAGATTTAATCTGATTACAAAAATAATAGATGCACAATTTGTCTCGAAGATTATTTTTTAATTTATCATTTAATCCAAACTCAAAATTTATAAATTAGATAAAATTCTACAAAGAGGCAATGTAATAAGGAATGAGAGGCAGAGTAATACGCATATGCAATTGCATATGTCTATGGGCAACGGTCACTTCGCTATATCAGCAATTTCAGGTGGCCGCTCGCTCGTTTGCCACCTTGTGATATAAAAAAAAATGAAGTACCGGACTGGGTATTTCCTCAAAATAATTTAAATGGTGAAATAACAAAATGGCCGCCATTTTGAACTTGATGTTCCTTTGTTTATATTCACGATTTGAACAATACTATAGAATTTTTGTTCAACAACTACTATTTTTTATATAATTCTAACTCAAAGTTAAGTATTTTAATTAATAATTAAATGTAATTAATATTGTTTGATCCGGTATAATTATCATTTGTAGGCTTACATCCTGTTTGATATTGCCAATTGTTTTTGGTAACATACAGACGACATATGTCTGGGATTTTAATTCACGAAGCATTGAATTATAATAATTATAATAAAGATATTCAATATATGACAAACTAGCTGTCGCCCGCGACTCCGTACGCGCGGCGTTGAAAAAATACTTAATAAGTAATCAACGTGTTCTCCCAGGCTATGTTTTACATCTCTCACTAGTTTACCAGTTCCAGAGATACCTTCAAACAAACAACCATGCATCTATCTTCATTCATATATATAATATTAGTATGATTTAATGAATAGGTACTATTCTTTTATCGCGATATCGATTTAATTTACAATTTAAATCACAATATTATTTAAAGTTAAATTAAATATTAGATAAGTATGAATATATTATAACTGGCCATAAAGCAAATGTTTTATTCATAAATATAGACAAGATATAACCAACCAGTAACAAAAAATGATGTTTGCAAATATACACAGACGTACTAAAAAGGTCGATAAATATGTCAATCGTCAGGTCAAAATGGCGGACGCGGGAACGTAAATTGTTAGTAATTTGAATATTATCGTTTATATGTTAAACGAAATCACTACAAATTATATATTTTATACTCGTCTTGGCTTAGCTTTAGTATTTTTTTATTATTATCTAAAAGTCTGGTTGTTAACGAAACTTAAATGCTTTTTTTATTTTTAAATCTTAAATGTTGCTAAACCCGTCTTAATATTTTTTTAAGTAACTAGCGGTCGCCCGCGACTCCGTCCGCGCGTAATTAAAAATAAAAATTGTAGCTTATGTGTTCTTCCAGAATTTTTTACATCTGTGCCAAATTTCAGGGAGATCCATACAAGCGTTCTCGAGATATCTTCAAACAAACATCCATCTAAACATTCGCATTTATAATATAAGTAAGAACTTACGTATGTAACAACGACTGTCAATATTCAAATCACATATCTCTGTTAAAATTAACATATTTTTTTTATCGGGCTAACATAAAATAAGTCCAATTATTAAAACAAGTCAATTGTCTAGACAAAAACGTACAAAAAAGAAGAAAACATTCCATAATTGGATACTTGGTATAGAAAATTAGACTTAATTATCAAGTTCTCATATTTTTTGTTATATAAAGTGCCAATTAAAACTTTATATTCGCCATTTAATATTAAACGTTGTTCACAATACTAGGTAGGACGTGTACTATCCATTACGAACTCTTTCTTCTCCTCACAGTGGACATAATCTACCTACTTTGCAAAGAAATGGTAACTCCGAGCCGCTATAAAGTTTGAATCATTTAATTTCTGGGGTAAAAAAAATTAAGTACAGCTAAGTACTATTACGTTGATCGGACCGGACCGAAATCTAGAACTACCGGTTCGAATCTGTTCTTACGTTGAAGGAAAACATCTTGCAACCAACACATATCACCGAAGAAAATTAAAAGATATGTGTTTTGTCAACCAGCCCACACTTTTTATTGCAGGTATCAACACCAATTACAGCCCCCGTGGGCTCGTGGGCTCTCCGAGTCGTCACCAGACTTAAGAGCACATCCACTAGAGCATTCTATGACTTTGACCAGGATATTTACATCCTTTTCAATCCATGGAATCCTGGTATGTATTCATGGATCAATTTAAATTACAAACATCAAGTTGCAAATCTAACTTTATAATTATACTTTAGATGACCAAACCTATATGGAAGACACTGATCTTCTGCAAGAGTATGTGCTTAATGACGTGGGCAAAGTGTGGGTGGGACCGATTAAGACCACGCGTGGGAAGCCTTGGTTCTACGGACAGTTTGATGCCGCGGTACTGCCGGCTTGTATGTTCATGCTGGATAGAGCTGAGATGCCGTTCCATCAGTGAGTAAATTAAATTAATTAATAAAAAAAATAAAATTAAAATAAATTTATCAGCGAACCTTAACGAGCGAGTTTACCCTTAGAGATCGGTGACTCGGGGGTTAAGCACTTGACTTGCAATCTACAGGTCCTGGGTTCGAATCCCGCCATGTACCAATGTGTTTTTTTATTTTCGATTTACATATGAACATTTATCCAACGTTCTTACGGTGAAGGAAAACATCTTGATGCTGCACATATCTGCGAAGAAATTCAAAGATATGTGTGAAATCAACCCTTAGTGAGGCAGCTTGGTTGATTATGACCTAGTCACTGACATAGGGTAGGCTCTGAGTCCCTCAGTAGGGACGTATAGTGAGCTCATGAAATTGATCTTCATTCATCCTTCAGTTCTTTTCAAAAGGCCAGTGGTTTTACAATTTAATTTGATGTTACTTGTATCAGACGCGGTGACCCAGTAAAGATGGCGCGTGTGATATCTCGTATCGTGAACTCTAACGACGACGCGGGAGTGCTGGTGGGTCGTTGGGACGGAGAGTACGAGGACGGTACCGCACCTTCCGAGTGGACCGGCTCCGTGGACATCCTGGCGCAGTACTTGGAGACGCAGCTGGAGGTGCCCTACGGACAGTGTTGGGTCTTCGCTGGAGTTGTTACCACTGGTAAGTGATTAAATTAATACATCTTATTTCAATATTATTACTAGTTGTGGCCCACGACTCCGTCTTAGTAAAAGTAGCCTATGTGTTCTTTTAGATTATTTCTTACATCTATTCCAAAATACAGCAAGAACCATGCAGCTGTTCTGAAGATACTTTCTAACAAACTCGTCTATCGTCTGGACTGGACTGGAATTAACAAGATTGTGAAAAAACCTATGGTCTACAAGACTATGTTCTACATCTATGACAAATTTCAGCGCAATCCATGCAGCTGTCCTGAAAATATCTTTAAACAAACATACATCCATCCATCCATTTGCATTTATAATATTAATAAGAAGTACGATATTAGTAAGATTGTATGTTAGCGTCCAACGATTATATTAATTAATTCTGCAGTTATTTAGACAATAACTTTATCTTGATGCTATATTTATGATCTTCCAATTATTGTTAGTTTTATGGTAAATTTGGAATATTTTTGGCTTACTTGTTCTTCTGTTTTACGATCATTGTCTCTCATCAAAATCAAGAACAATTAAGATAGTTTAAGTCAAAGGTTATCGCTGTAAGTGATCAAATAATTTTAGTTCAGTTTTAACATAATATTTAACTAAGATAGTTAACTGGTTTTACCTCTTATAAATGATAGGAAAGGGAAATGGATTTGGCAGAGCAGGGGAAATATCTGTGCGTCCCCTCCTCTGTCGGTTAAAGTCTACGAAATTTGGGCGAATTCATTTGTTTGCTTTGTTTCCCAATTTATATAACTAAAAAAATCTCCGTGACTTTGAATCGATTTAGGATTTTTTTTTATCATTTATCCAGTTTGCCGAGCCCTGGGTATACCTTCTCGTGTTGTCTCCAACCTTGTATCAGCTCATGATGCTAACAGTTCTTTGACTGTCGATAAATATTATACGGAGACAATGGAGGAGATGGATTACGACCCCAACAACGCTAATGGAGCTGACTCCATATGGAATTACCATGTGTGGAACGATGTTTGGATGGCGCGACCTGATTTACCACCAGGTACGAATAGAAGATAGTTTATGTTGAAAGAAATCATTTCATATATGACATACATTTAAGAACATAATTGGATCATTAAATCTAATAATTTAAAAAAAAAAACTTTATCTACGTTTCTCGTTAACAAAGCATTACTCGTTGTTTTCTGAGACCAAAATATCTGTATTAAACATATTGTCATCCCTGTTATGTTTGACGTAATAGAAAAAGAGAGCAATATGTTTTGGTCTTAGAAACCCATGGTAATTTATTCAATCGATTCAATAAGTAAAAAACTCATTAAGTCGATTACTGAGACATATTTATGCAGCTGACTGTACTTAGTTATATTCCAGTCCAACAAACCACTAAAAATTTCTTCACCAATTTGTGATAGGTTATGGTGGATGGCAAGCGATAGACGCGACACCACAGGAGACATCATCAGGTCTGTACCAGTGCGGTCCCGCGCCGCTGGAGGCCATCAAACAGGGTGTCATCGGCCTGGGGTATGATGTGGAGTTCATGCTAGCCTCTGTCAATGCTGACCTCATGCGATGGAGGAAGGACCCTGACGCGGAGACTGGATTCTCCATGGTCGACACTAATAATTACCAGTTAGTACTTTAAACATATATTAGATAAAATTTGTTACAGAAAGTTTATAACAACACAAAATTATGCTATAAATTCAACCAATAAAGATGCATCAAAAATTTCGAGACCTAAATGTACATAAAAATATTCATGACGCATGGTCATGTTAAAAATATAGCTCTCTCTCTCCTTCCTTCTTTTTTAATATTTTTTATCTCTATCATGTAACGAAATAAATGTGACGTAACCATAAAATTGTCGTTACCGTTTTCGAGTCGTTTCGGAGATATATAGATAGACAGACAGACCAATTTATACAAAATATGACATTTTTTTCGATATTACGTATATACAAACCAAAATTAATTTTAAAACAATAATTTCTTTGTAGCATCGGTCGTATGGTCCTGACAAAGAAGCCGTACGTGTTCGATCCTCTGGGAGATGAGGACAGGCAGGACATCACCGGAGAGTACAAGCATAGAGAGGGCACAGCATCCGAGAGACTCGCTCTTATGAATGGAGTACGTTACTCTGAGAGAGCTAAGAGGTAATACAACAATCTAGTAATATGCAATTGCGTGTTTATGGGTTACTTCGCTATTTCAGCGAATTAAGGTGGCCGCTCACGCGTTTGCTACATTATGATATAAAAAAACTAACTTTAACTATAAAAAATAACTCAAAAGTACCACAGAGAATAAAATATTTTATTTTTTACATAATTTTAAAAATTATAGGCAAAATGTAAATTGGTATTATTTGAGCAAAATATAATTTAAAGATGGCAACATTACAGATATTACGCGATAGCTGGCAACCTCAGTAATGATATCACATTCAACCTACGAGATATAGACACTGTCAACATCGGACATGACTTCAGGGTCACTGTCGACATTGAAAATACCTGCGGTCAAGTAAGTTCTTACATTATTTACTACACGTCGCAAGAGACAAAAATAAACTTAATAAGTAGTCTATGTGTTCTTCCAGACTGTGTTCTATATCTATACCAAATTTCAGCAAGGTCCCTGCAGCTGATTTAGAGATACCTTCTAACTAACATCCATCCATCCATCCAAGCGTTTGTTCACGACTCCGTCCACGCGGAATTAAAAAATAATAAGTAGTCTATGTGTTCTTCCAGACTATTTTCTATATGTATGACAAATTTCATCAAGATCCGTTCAGTTGTTCTGGAGATAACTTCATACATCCATCCATCTGAAACATCAATAGCCTAATGGATAAGTGTACGGATTTTCGATCACGAGGTCGAGGGTTCAAATTCTGCCATTAGACTATTGTCGTAAACCATGTCCTATCACAAGTCTAGACCTTACTTGGAATGGTTCAAGAAATATCTGCATATATTTAAAAAAATCCATCTAAACATTCGCATTTATAATATTAGTAAGATATTTTAGGTTCTTTTTTTTAAATTAAAACTTGTGTTTTAATTATCGTAGGGTCGAAACATAAAAGCAGCTCTGTCCGCTACCAGTGTGTTCTACAATGGTGTTAAATCAGAGGTCGTTAAAAAGGTGGAAGGAAAAATCTTCGTAGGACCAGGAAAACGTAAGTTTTATATCGTGTTCAATTATCGTTGGTTTCTGAGACTAGAATCTCTAAAATTTGGTCTCAGAAACCTACAGTTAATCATCTAACACCTACAAACAGTCTTTACGTTAGTAATGGTGAACTTAAGTGTCAATTTCTGATACTAAATCTACACTTAGGGAGTTCCGTTAAAACGCTAAGTCAATTTCTTGTTCTTTTAGGAAGAAAATCCGGCACTGTGCCGGTGTACTGGCACAACACTAGCCTTACTTAAATATCGACGTTTATGTCCCCTCACTAATCATTCTGACAAGGATTCTAACAAATAATGTCTAAAAGTAAATAGAAAAAGCAATCGCGTTCGCTAGATTTAGTGGAAAAAAGGTCTAAATGTATATCAAAATTGACAGGCGAACAAATCAGTATTTTGGTGAAAGCTGACGAATATCTGCCCAAGTTGGTGGAGTACTGCAACATGAAGATCTCCGCGATGGCCATTGTCGACGAGACCAAGCAGTCCTGGGCTGATGATGATGACTTCCAAGTTCTTAAACCTACCATCAATATCAAGGTAACATCTTACACTAAGTAACATCTTTATATCTTGAAATGTTCGTATATTTTTTTAACAAAAAAAAATGGGACCTACCAACTAATACTATCTACAGACTAAAAAAAAATGTCAAAATCTGAGCATCTGAAGTGGAGTTATGTAACATACAAAAAATGCAGACGAATTAACCTCCTTCTTTTTGAAGCCGGTTAAAAAGTCCTGTCAAAAATAACAACATAACTCACCCCCGTAATCCAGAGGAGTAGACAGAGACTAAATACCTCCATTTGGCACACTCCTGGCACACCTTACTGCCGCCCTTCTATCATTCTGTATAACTTAGTTTCTGAGACTAAAATCTCTGCATAAAACATATCGTCATCTTTATCATTATTGACAAAACAGGAATAACAATATATTTTAAAAGGAGATTTCGGTCTCAGAAACTCACGGTTAGTCTACTCGGTACAACTTCTACTATAGACATTCTTTTAAATCCCCTGATGACAGTACAGTGTTGCCATAATAATATTTATTCCCCTTTTATTTCCAGTTCAATGAGGATCTGATCATCAATCAACCAAGTTTAGCAGTACTATCATTTGTGAACCCGCTGGACCGCGCGCTGACCTGCTGCGAGTTCCGCGTCACCTCCTCAGCTCTGGAGGGACGCACCACACGTATCGCAGCACCTGACACACCTCCACATGCGGCTGTCACTGCTGAACTGCCTTTTCAACCTAAGGTTATCTTATTAGGAAACCTAAACCTATTGTATAATACTAGCTGTCGCCCGTGACTGTCCGTGTGGGAACATACTTTGTAGCCGATGAGAATATGTTCTACATCTATGTCAAATTTAGCGAGATCTATGCAGCAATTTTGTAGATATTTTCTAACATATATCCAATCATAAGTCCAGCAATTCCTATTTATGATGCCACTAAAGGTAGTCCTTGAGGATGTAAAAAAAAATAGTAGCCTATGTGTTCTTCCCGACTATGTTCTACATCTATGCCAAATTTCATCAAGATCCGTTCAGCCGTTCTGGAGATAACTTCAAACAAACATCCATTCATCCATCTAAACATTGGCATTTATAATATTAGTAAGATTTTAAATCAAATTTCTTTATTTTTTTACAGAAATTGGGTACAATTAATATAATAGCAACATTCAAATCTTTGGAACTGAAAGACATCACCGGAGCTGCGAGTCTTGAAGTAATGGAAGGATAGACTTGTATTGTATTTATTAAGACTGACAAGAATATGTCTTTAAAATATTATTATTCATATTTTATATGTTTTAAGAGAGATTTTTTTTTAATTTTAATTTTATTTTTGAAGTGAAACTACATTTTTTTCGCAAATTTTACGCCATCTGTATGGCAACATTATATAAACGGTAGCTTTTGTTGTACGCAAATAGATTTAAGCTTGTAATTTAAACATTTATAACTTTATTAAGATGCAGAGATTAATATTTTTATACGAATATTTGTTAATATAATTCAAATAAATTTATTAAAGTTTTTAAAATGTTTTTTTTTTCTTCTCTATGTATTTTGCATAACGAAATAAATTATAATTCAAGGTCATAGTCGAATATTTGGTAAGTTATCGGAACAACATAAAGTGCATTTGCTTCGAAGCAATTCCATAGAGCTTCAAAAATGTATAGAACTGACAATAACTTAAGTCACGTGATTGTTGCGCGTCAGTTCTATAAATTTTTGAAGTTCGTTATGGAATCGCTCCAGAGCGAATGCACTTGTTCTAGCCCAGCAAAATTCTATTAACTATTTTTAAGAAAAAAAAAACAAATAAAGTCAGAAAAAAAAGGTTTATTTCAATTCCATGCAATGTACATATTTTATACATTCAACAATCAGCGCAAAATGTACTTGTAAGAGTTTACATTGAACAATACATCTACAAAATATTTTGTTTACCAATTTCTTTCATCATCAGCTCACTATACATCCACACTGAGGGGCTCAGGGCTGCCCTATGTCAGTGACTAGACCATAGTCAATGCTGGGCTAATGCGGGTTGAATTCACACATATCTTTGAATTTCTTCAGATATGTGCAGCATCACGATGTTTTTCCTCACCGTAAGACCGTTAACTAATTTATTTATTAAATATGATTTTGTATCAGTATTTGAGACAATGCAAACTCAAATAATAATTAAAGGACAAAGAAATAATACAATTATATAAAAAAAATTGCCAAACACATAACACTGTGGCATATGGTAACTTTGTAGCTATGTCACCGTCAAATTGTTAAATTCCATAACCATTACAATAGACAATTTGTAATCCGTACAGATAAAATAAAATTTGACAAATCAATATCTTTATAATCTGACGTTTACAATCTGACGGTTAAAGCTACACATTTCTGGCAACACTGTCTAAAAGCGACTTAAAAAAAGAACATTCCTACCCTATATTTTTATAGCTCATATGAAATGACTTAAAATAAGTGCATTCTTCAATCGACTAAGAATTTTTAATACAAAAAAAATCTACATCTGTGAAGTTCATTGGAATATTCAAATTACAAGAAAAAATGTATTCATACAAAAAATAAAAAACTAAAGAGTGAATTATTATGCTTCGTGTATACTAAATTAAGTAAAACAGAAATATATTAATTTATTTTGGTAAATTAAATAATGTAATTATAATAAGACATATTTAAAAAGAAATAAAGTGACATTGCATGAAATATTGAAAAGCAAAATTAATAATTCACAAAGATTTTGTTGAATACTAGCTAGTTGATAAATAAGCGGAACATATTGTTCGTAATAACTTAAACTTAAGTTATATCCACACAACTTAAAACTTAAGTGAGCATCTCACATATTTACTGTTATATTGATGTGGAAGTTATATACTTTACTGTCAAAGGAACTTGGAGAGAGGACGGCGAAATAACAAAAAAATATACAAGTTTTATTTACAGAAAGATTTTACCAAAATTCATCCGATGCATTCAAATCATATTGCTTTTTTTTACCTTAATTAATAACCATTTATTTGCCTTAATTATTTACGAATTAAAAAAAACTCGTATCTATGACTCGGATTTGAGTTTGTATTTCTTTGATGCTGTAACAAATGTATGTAAATGTACAGTTGATGCAATAAATTATAATCAAATGAGGATAAGTGAGACTCCAAAGGATATTTTTCTAACTTATAGAGGTTTATCTTTAACCAAAGTTTCTTGCTTATGATGTCGTCTGTCAGAATAATGACTCTAACCTATTGAAATTTATTTTATATAGGTTTTACTACCGTTGGATTTGACGTAAGCTTTTGATATGGTCAATCATGATTTTTCATAAATAAATAGATATAAAAACAAATAAAAGTACGTAGTTTGTACTTTATTTAGAAATTTAAAGTGCATGCAATAAATTTTAAACAAAATAATAAACACGAGTAACAAATTTGAAGACAAATTATCTAGAGTCCCTCAAGGTACCAACTTTGGACCACAACTATTTTCTATCATCTTTCATAAAATATCTATAATAACAGATTTAGAAACTGAAAATACTATGTCAAAGCCCAAATCTAAAGAGTATTAGATTTTTAATAAAGTGTACTACAAAATACAGTATTGGATAGTTTAGCCTTCTCTTTACTTGGGGTGAAAAAGTTAGTTTTTTTAATTGGATCAACTGTATAATTACAAATTCACTAAAATTAAATAAACATTGTTCAACTCTTATAATATATTTCTCTGTGTGCGATATTGAAGCTGAATTGAACACATTGCCTTAATCCAAGTAAAAAAAGGTAAAGAAAGGAATTAAGTAAGAGATAAATATGAAAAAGACAATTCAATCAATGGAAGCCTACTGTCAACAAATAACCTTGTTAATAATACGATAATCACAAAAAAATGCTTAATTTCTAATCATTGTCTTTTAATATTTGCGAATGATAAAACAACCTTATCCCAATCAAATAGAGTTCAAAATCGCACACAGTATTTATAAAACTAATAAACTTTAGCCTTGCCCGTTACAAATTTAGCATATTCTTCGTAAAACTTTGGGAACATTTGTATAGCGAAATATACTAAACTTAAATATGCAACTATCGCTAGAGTTAAGATGAGATCGAACACTGCTGGTTTCACGCTAAAATAGACAAAAAAACATTAGTTATAAGTTTAACTGAGAGGCAGAAATATTTCTAATAAATACTCTAACCAAATATTATTTAACTAGCGGTCGCCCGCGACTCCGTCCGTGCGGAATTAAAAAAAAAAACATAATTAGTAGTCTATGAATTTTTCCAGACTATGTATGTATCCTAAATTTCATCAAGATGTGTTCAGGCGGTCTGGAGATACCGTTAAATATCCATCCATCCATCCATCTAAATTATATTACAACTTATAATATTAGTAAGAAGTAAGATTAGTAGCAGATTGCTTTTTTTAGCTTTTATATCTTTACAAGTCACGAATAAATATAGCAAATATTTTTTAATTAATAAGTGACCCCCTAATAATATTCGGGACCCCTCAGGGGGTCATAATTCTTCAGAAAGTAATTCATTGCCAAATAAATGTAGGAAATAATATTTAATTAAAAAAGGTACCCCCCTGTGTATAAGTCTTTGCCACCCCCCAGGGGGTCAAATATTTTAAATATATGATATAAAATAACTAACCTGTACACATATAGTAGATTTCTGAGCGGCGAGTACAGCACGTACTCCGGCTCCCGCTTGTCCACTGTGTGCGTGCTCATCGTCACGTCCACGTAGCGGGACAGAGCCTTCTCCAGCGCTCCTGTCACACCTGTCACGTCACAACAATCAGTTAACAGTGGTAGAGCCCGCTTTAACATCTTCGCATGAATTGGCCCGGCTCGCCCGGTGAAATACCACGACCACACAGAGGATAGGCGTCAAGTGGAAGCTATTCCACGTACAGTCTGAAGAGTGTGCGTCCCTGAGGCCTTATTTAGTCCTCTTTCCCTTCCCAACCTTTTTCTTATAACGAAATGATGGGAAGTGGAAGTGGACTTTCCGGATGAGAGGATGCATAGGAAGGGAAAATATTTTCTTTCTGTGCATCCTCTTCTCCGTCGATTAAAGTTAGGCAACGCATATGCAATTGCGTATGTCTATGGGCAACGGTCACTTCGCTATATCAGCGATTTCAGGTGGCCGCTCGCTCGTCTGCCACATTATGATATAAAAAAAAACTCAATCGACTTCCAATCCAGTACAGTGTCGAGTTTTTTTTATCACCTGAATTTTGTGGGGTCGTTGTGATGAGATGCGGCGCGCGAGGCTGCGACGACAGATATTCATACCAGTGTCTGACCGCAGCTTCGTCTACATCCTAAAAAATATATACAACATAATATTGATCTTAATCTTACATCTTACTAATATTATTTGGATGGATGGATTTATGTTAGAAGGTATCTCCGGAACGTCTGCACGATCTCGTTGAAATGTGGTACAGATATAAAACATAGTCCGGAAGAACATATTTTCCTGCGGATTGAGTCGCGGGCAACACGACGAGCTAGTCTTACTAATATTATAAATGCGAATGTTAGGATGGATGGATGGATGTTTGTTTGAAGTTATCTCCAGAACTTCTAAACGAATCTTGATGAAATTTGGAATACATATAGAACATAGTCTAGAAACACTACTATTTTTATTTTCGCAGGGATAGTCGCGGGCGATAGCTAGTTTAAAACAAATATGTACTACATGAGAGAATTGTGAGGTCATATTTAATTCAATGAGTTATACTCACGAGAGCGTCATCGTACAAGGCTGCATCCTCATCGTTGACCTCATCCGTGAGGTTGTATATATGTGAGGCGAGCGCGCGTGCGGTCACCTTGATGTTGTTCACGAGGTGCTTCAATGATTCCTCTGATGGAGTATCCAGGATCGTGTTGCGAGCTGGCTCTTTGTGACTCTGAGGAAAGTGACATCAGTTCAGTGGACCATTATTATTGTTTTTACCCTACTTTCAACTAGGATCGGAATTATTGAATGTGTATACAAGTTGTAGGACAGTCGAATACCGATGGCTCAGGGGATAGGCACTTGACATGCAATCTACAGGTTCTGGGTACGAATCCAAATGTAGCGATGTGTTTTTTCGATTTATATATGTACATTTATCCTACGATTTTTTAGTGAAGGAAAACATTGTGATGCTGCATATATCTGTGAAGTAATTCCAAGATATGTGAAGTCAGCCCGCATAGGACCAGCATGGTTGTCTATGGCCTAGTCACCAAGTAACTTAGGGTAGCTCTAACAATTTTTTTAAAAGTACCCACATTTGAAATCTTTTCGGCTATACCTGTAATGAACTAAGTGTAAACGCAGTCATCCGTCTTATGCTGAACCTCTCATGATGCCAGGCCAGGAGTTCGTCTGCCAGGTTGATCTTCTTATGCACGACGGGCACGTTGAGTCGTGCACGTAGCGAGTGCGCCGCGCCGCCAGCTTTCGGAGGCTTAGATACATGCAGGTTCAGATTCTCTGATGATATTGAATCCAGGCACAGCACGAAGGATACATCCTGGAATTAAAAAAATTATCTGTGCTGTTTCAAATAAAATAAAAACATGACATTTTTATGCTGGAATTCTTAAATCATACAACATATGTAGAAATCAACTTTTTCTAAAATAAAAAGCGCCAAAAAAAATCACGACTATGACAAAATATTCAAATAGCATACAAATATATTTTCATATATTCTGTAGGATTGTTTTTATTATTAATAGACTAAGAAATCTATATGTTTACTTTAAGGACCTCGTGACAGTTATGTCCCCCTTACAAATAAAAATTTTCAAACTCACCTGCAGTAACGAAGCATCAGTAACATCCAATTGTTCCTCCAGCCACTTCTTTGTAGCAAAATAGTTGAGCGAATGTCCAACAGAGGTCAACACGAACAGCAACGAGGGTGCACCACGAACAGCTACACTCGAGTACAAACGCGAGAAGATTCTAGCCAATTCTAGAACTGCTACTGCACCTGACGCATTTGAATCCGCACCTTGTGCTAACTCCTGTCAAAATATATGATTTACAGCAAAAAAAAAAATTAAAAAAAATTGCTACAAGTAGTGAAAAAATAATTACAACAAACACATTAGTTCTTACAATTCTTCACTATCTGACATTTCCCATAAAATTAAAAAAAAAATAGTTAATGCATCTGTCACGTGACACTTGGTGTTTTTAATTTTTTTAATCTACATTTAAAACAGTATAATAAAACAATAAAACTCACAGGCACAAGTCCGGCTGCGTCATAATGTGCTGCAATAACTATAGTCCGTGCTTCTGACCTGCCCACCAGCTTGCCATGCAGCGTCACCGGCTTTGAGTCCAGTTTCTGTGGAGCCGGTGCTGTTACCACTGGAATGGAAACGAGTCTGTCAAACTAAATGTCACATAAGCATAGATTATATAATGACAAAATTGATTTTGAAGCCCCATTAGCCTAATGGTTAAGGGTACGGATTTCCGATCACAAGGTCGAGAGTTCGAATCCCGCCATTAGACTATTGTCGTAAACCATGTCCTAGCACAAGCAAAGAGCTTAGTTGGAATGGTTCAAGAAATATTAGGAAATTTGCAAAAAGCTAATATTTAAAAAGAAAAAAAAATTAAGTGCATTTACATTACAGTTTAATTATTATCTGTAGGTGTATACTTTCAGTTTT